TGTAGTTACACTTTATGTCTTTGCCTCACCCAAATGCGGGTTAAAGGCATGCCCTTCCCTCCCTTTAGTGCTCCTCGTGTCCTTTAGTTGTAGATTTGCCCCCCCATCCCCCTAATCCCTAGAGAGTATTTCTGCCATGTGATCAACCTAGTGTTGATCAGTTAGTAAGAGATTCAATCTTGATTAGCTTGCTTGTTAGCTTGTTTTTAAAATGAAGTTGCAGCTCTTATAAAAAGCAGAGAAAGAAAAAGATTAATAGGAAGTTACTGTGATATTTTGGTGTTTTTCCTTCCAGTCTTTTCTTAAAGTCTTTTCTATGCAAAGCTGTAATTATGCTGTCCAAATAGTTTTGTCTCCAGCATTTCCCCCTATTTCTGTCAAAAGCATCTGAGTATTTCTGCATTCTTCATAACCACATTTTTTATTGGTTATATTATTTTGTCCAGTAAAAATATCAAGATTTATCTACACATTCATTTAACTGTTTTACTATTTGTTAATATTAATGCTGCAATAAACATTTGTGCTTGCATAGCTTTTATTAAGAAATGGGACCTCACAGTTTCAGAGAAGTTTAATTTATATCTCTTTTGATTACCAGTGAAGAACCCTTTGTGGTCTTACTGGGTTTAAAAAATTCAATTTGTATAAACACTAAATATTAACTTTTTCATACCTGATGTAAATATTTTTTCCTAGCAGTTTGTAGCCTTTATTTAGGCTATTTTAAAAACTGGCAGAAAATTTTATGTAGCTAATTGTGTTGCCATATCTCTTCTGATTTTCTGATTTACTCTATTGTATCTATAATTATAAAGGACTAAGAAATACTAATCTTCTAATTTTTCTATCATTTGACCTTTAACTCTTTTTACTTCTGAGTTAACTGGATATATTTTATGTGGAAATAACATAAATGGATTTAAAAAGAATTAATAATCACTTATAGCCACACTATTAGATCTCTGACTGTTCCAATGATCTGTAACATCATTATACATCATATTCTCGTTTAAAAAATGGATTGCCTGAATATTCTGTTTCACTGATCAATATATTTCTCCTAATGTCAGATCATAATGGTGTGTCACTGACTTCACATTTCTAAAATATAGTTAAGTGTTAAATAAAGCCTGAATAAAAATATACCAGAATCCTATATGAATATACTAAATATAAATGTCAAGAAAATACATGAAATACTTACCACTGGTTTGACAATGTTGGAAAGAAGTGCTTCCAATGCTTTAGTTTCTTCATCTTTTTCTTATGAAAAAAAAATTGAATATTTAAAAAACGATCTTAAATGCAGTCCCCTCTTCCCCCCACGTATGTATTCTGACACTAGGTTGGTATTTTGAGACTTTTGTTTTTCAATTATTACTCCTTTGTTCATACTCAGCAGTTTGTGGTCCTTCAGCATTCTTCTGTTTCAGTTTTTATTTCCATTTTAACTGTGATTACTAGTTATAATGCTACCATATATATATGAATTAATCAGTAAGTTTTTCTTATAGAAAGTATATTTTTATTCATAGTTGTAAAAATGTTCTCTCTGTAAAGTTATCTGCCAATCTCCTACCTTTTAATAAGTTAATGAAGTATTTTTTCATGACATGCCTTACTCATGGTTTCCAAAATAGGAATATAATTGGCTTGACCATAATTTTTAGTCACCACTGATATACATAAAACTTTAGCTTAACTTTTCTGAAACATCAGTGCTGAAAAAAACGATCAGGAGGTCTAAAATATATGGAAGAACATTTTTTGCATGTCGTTACTATACATGTCTTGAAGCTGTTGAAGCATTATTTGAAATTGGTTGGTGAGGAATGAAAATTTTAAGGAAAAGGAAAGTGGGAAGTGTTAACAGGGCCTGCATTTTTATATTTCCCTCAAAGCTGGAAGCATTTTAGTTCCTAGTCAGGTATTAATTAGCTGCATTATTTAATAATTCAATATAATAAGAATCAAGAGTATCAATTTATATAAGCACATTCAAGGACTGAGAGAGTTGCGGTTACTGGTGTTTATGAAATGGCACGTTAAATATGCTTTATAGTTATTTTTGATGAAACTTAAAATTTGATTTGGTCTACTTTGAGAAGTTAAAACAGATAGGGTCAGTATCCAAGAAACCCAAAAGAACATATATATAGAAACTATAGAAGTAAAGATAAGCAGTAGTAAGAGGCTTAACATTATAGTTAAAAGTACCTGGGTACTAACTCCACACAGTAGACATGAAAGACAGGCTGTTAAACCCAGCTTATATTTACCTTACAGAGATTGAGTCTAGGACATACAAATAGTACTGCTCAGAATTTACATGGTGAAAGCCACAAGTTAGGGGAAGGATCTAAGGGAAATGGGGATTTTAAGAGAAAAGCTTTTGAAGAAAGGAATGGAGAATACTCTCTCCTAATTATAGAGTATATACAGAGATTGGTAAATGACATAAGTATTTGCTATCAAGGATTTACTCAAAAAGCTGGGAGAAATAAAGACCTTTGATAAAGAACAGCATAAAGGTTCAGAATTGTAAGAAAAGGAACCTGGATTAATGTTATCTTGAGTTTTCCTATCAAATAGAAATTTCTCTCAATCAGTAAAATTTATGATATGGATGAAATTACTAATTGAGGTTTCCCAAATTGTCAAAAGCAGGAGCCTGGTAACAATTTAAGTTCTAAAATGTTTTTTTCTTTTGCCTATTTTTTCAACTAACCCCTAACTCAGAAAGGATAAAACGTTTTTTCACATTTAGAAAGTGTTAGGCTATGAATCTACAGTTCATTTGGACCATGACAAAAATGACTGAAAGGTTAGAATATACTTTTAGTTGATTAAATAATGATGAGAAGCATCAGTGAGAATAGTTTAGTATTTTATTTTAGATAGTTACCTTCAATTTCCGTATCAATTTGTGCACCACCTTTCCCTTTCCCTGATTTTTTTGCTGATCCTGTGTTTATACCACTAGCATTCTGCCCTTTTATAAGTCCATTATGTTCATTTATAGGAGAAGGGCATTTCTGGGGTGAAGATGGTGGACTGCTCATTTTATCTTTCTGTGTTCCTTGGCGATCCTTTAATTTTTTCTGCAAACGTTCATAGGTTTTACTAGATCTTTCGTCTCTAAAGTTGGACCTTCCATGTGTAGAGTGAGCATCTAGGAAGAAATAAAAAACAAATGTTAAAAAGATCACTTTCTCCAAATAAGTCTATGGCAGGAAAAAAGAATAGAAAATAAATCTATCATATAAAAATTATAAAATATTCTGAAGATTTTTGCAAAACAAAGTTATTTTTGTGTCTCCACTGACAGAACCAAGTTTTGTGACTTAATTATATTTATACATATCAAACAAATTTACAGAGACATTTATTTCCTCCTTCTTTCCCCAACTAACTATTAATCTCTGTGGAACCAACTTGGTGGTATATGATGATTATTGTAGGTGAGGAATGAGACTTGAACTAAACTGTCCACAGTTCTTTTTCTTTTATTCTTTTATAGCCATTACTTTTCACATCTCTTTCAATTCAAATATATAAAATAGGTAGAAAGAAAACTACTGCCTGCCTATTCCCTTATGACTCAAAAAAGCAAATCATCACTGAAAAAGAGTTTTAGGACTTAGCAAAAAGAAACGAGTTGGATTGTTTAATGATAACAGAATTTACATATAAAGTATTACATCTTCAGATACTACAAACTCAAGGTTGTGATTTAGAAGAATATATTCATTCTCATAAAAGCTGCACAGCAATATAATAAAGTCAATGTGCTCAGCTCAATAAATATTAATTCAATTGTCCCCAAAGTTTATTTTTATTTAAATTTAAAATCTGTAATGAGAAAAATATTTTTTAAAAGCCTCAGTAAAGGAAATAGTTTTAATTTAGCAGTGTTTTAAGAAAACTAGTACAATATTCTTTAAGTGATTATTATAAGGATATGTATAATAACTTAGAATAAAAAACATAGGCACCTGGATATCTACATGTAAAAGAATGAATGTGGACCTTTACCTCACACCATATGCAGAAATTAACTTAAATGAATCACAGACCCAAATGTAAGAGCTAAAACTATAAAACTCTTAGAAGGAAATACAGATGTACATTTGCATGGCTTTAGATAGGCAATACTTTCTTAGCTATGATACTCAAAGCACAAGCAATCAAAAAAAAAAAACTAAACTGGACTTCGTCAAAATTAAAACTTTCCTGCATCAAAGGATACCATGAGTAAAGTGAAAAAATAACATGGGAGAAAATATCTGCAAATCATATAGCTGATAAGGGGCTTGTATCCAGAATATGTAAAACACTCTTAGAACTCTACAAAAAAAGAGACAAATAACCCAATTAAAAATGGGTCAAATATCTGAATAGGACTTCTCCAAAGAAAATATACAAATGGCCAAATAAGCATATTGAAAGATGCTCAACATCAGTAGTCATTAGAAAAAAGCAAATCAAAACCACACTGAGACCAAAATTCATTCAGGATAGCTATCATCAAAACACAGACAATGACAAGTTTTGACAAAGATGTGGAGAAACTGGAACCCTCACACACGGCTGGTGGAAATGTATGGTGCAGTCATTGTGGAAAACAGTTTGGGATTTCCTTAGTAAGTTAAACACAGAATCAACATATGACCCTGAATTCCACTGGGAGATATATACCCAGAAGAAGTGAAAACATATGTTAACATAAAAACTTGTACACAAATGTTCACAGCAGCATTATTTATCGACAAAAAGTGAAAACAACCCAAAAGTCCATCCACTAATAAACAAAATGTGGTGTTATCCACAGAATGCAACAATATTCAGCCACAAAAAAGAATGAAGAATTGCTACATGTGACAACATAGATGAACTCTGAACATAATACATTAAGTTAAAAAAAAAAAAAAAAAACCTAGACACAAAAGGCCATATATTGTATGAACATTTATCTGAAATGTCCAGAATAGGTAAATCCATAGAGACAGAAAGTAGATTAGGGTATGGGGGTGGGAGGAAGAGAGGATTAGGAATACTATTAATAGGACAGAGTTTCTTTTTTGGGATGACACAAATGTCCTAGAATTAGATAGTGGTAGTGAATACAGTATTTAATACATAGTGAATATACTAAAAACCATTAACTTGTGCACTTTGGTTATACTAAAAACCACTAAAATGTACAGTTTAAAATGATGAATGTTGTTATGTGAATTATATCCCCACAAAAAAGATAAAAACCATAGCAACTATAATCAATTAGCACTTAAAATCAAGAATATGTTGTAGAAGAAAGAGTAGAAAATTTATTATCAAATAGAACTCAGAGGGTTAAAATCCTTAGCAACTAGCCACGTGACCTTGCAGAAATTACTTAACATTTCTGAGCCTCAGTTTTCTCATTTGTATTTTGCATAATTTTACTGAGGATTAAGTAAGATAATACATATATGAACACAGTGTCTAGGAAGGTTCAGGCTCCATAATGGTATTGCTAACAGTGAAATGTTGGATCAGGTCCTACTCTGGGAATCCATATACGGTGTGCATGGAAAAGGGGTCAGAGAGGCATCTACCGGTTAGAAAATCAGCATCGTCAGGTATTAGGATCCAGTGGGAGATTCTCTGGCTTATAACCTCAAATACAAGATGATTCTTGCCTTCCACCACTGGGTAGGTAGTTTGTGGATTTGTGCCCTTTGCATCATTGTGAATGACATCCATATATTCTAATGCATATCCCTGCTGAAGAACAATGGGTTTTAACAACACGAAATAGTAATATTTGTAATATCTGGTTTTTACTTACAGTTTTCTCAAACACATTTTTAAAAACTAAGTCACAATTAGCAGTAAACAAAATAGGATGAAACTAATTTGCAGTATAAATTCTTGCTACTCAAAAGTGTGTGCGCTGAGGCATTGCATGGGCATCGCCTAGGAGCTTGTTAGAAAGACTGTCAAGCCACACCCAGACCTACTGAACCAATTGCCATTACATGAATAAATCAGTTTAAAAATATATTTGATATAAATAATATATCCACTATTTACAGGCTGTGCTACATAATTTAAATTTGTGTTTCAGGTTATTTCTGTAAATTTACTAAGCATAACTGACAGGCATTGCTAAGTGCCAGAAAAATAACGAAGAATAAACAGATTCAGTTCTTAGGGAGTTTATAGTTAATAAGGGAGATAGACATACAAATAACAACAAAGAAGAAATTTTGTTAAGTTCTGTGAAAGAAACAAACATGGTTCAGTGCTAGAGATTGATACAGTAAGCCAGGGAAGGTCTCTTTGAAAGCTGAAGTCTAAAGAATAAAGGAAATCTATGGAAAAGGGGAAAGAACATTCCTGGCAGAGAGAATACCATGTGCAGAGACAATGAGGTAACGAAGAGCTTAGGAGTTTCAAAAAATGGAAAGAATAGGGGAAAGCAGTGGGACAAGGCAGTCAGGGGCCACAGGGCAGGGCTTTGCCAGGGCAGTGGTTTGCAAGGGGCTAATTTTAGTTCCTAGGGGTCATCTGGCAATGTCTGGAGATATTTTTAGATGTCACATCTAAAATGTCGTGTTAGGAGTTGGAGTTGTGTGCTACTGGTATCTAGTGGGTAGAGGCCAGAGATGCTGCTAAACATTCTAAATGCAGTTCTGTCCTCCACAATAAAGACTTATCTGTCCCAAAAGGTCAACAGTGACATGTTTGAGAAACCCTGGGAAGGGTTTAAGATTTTATTCCAAATGCAATGGGAAGTCACTGAAATCTTTTAAATAGAACAGTCTGATTAATATTTTAAAATGATTACTGTGGCTGAGAATGGATTATTAGGGACAAGAATGGAAGCAGAAAAACAGCTGGAAGTTCTGCTGTTGAAGTTGTCCTGGCATGAGCTGACAGCGGACTGAATTTGAGTAGCAGTGGAGAGCAGTAGATAAAACTGGGAAACTTCCGAAAATAAAACTGATACTGATTGATGTGGGGGTTGAAAGAGGAGGAATCAAATTTGACTGTCTGGCTTTCATGTGAGCAAACTGAGTGGCTAGGGCACCACCTACTGAGAGGAAGAAGACAGAGAAAAAGCAGGTTCTGGGGACCCACAGTAGAGATTTCTGTTTTACAAATGTTCTAATTGAGATGGAGGAGACATCCATGTGGAGTTATCAAGAAGGCAGTTAGAAACAAGTCTGGGGCTCAGAGGGGATGTTTTGGCTAAAGATATAAATTTGAAAGCTGTCAGTATGTAGGCAGTGTTTAAAGTCATGGGAAAGAATAAGATGATTATTTTGTGTGAGTATGGTAATCTATTCTTCCCCCAAATTTATTAACTCTGTGAGGGCAGAGCTTATGGCTTATTCTGTTTTTTGTTTCTTTGGTTTTTTTAATCCCTCACAGAACCTATTAATAGCAACTTTGGGTTGTGGGATCATAGCCTTCAGGATTTAACAATGGCATGGTTACTACTGGCTGAAAATTTCCTCAGAACCTAGACTACAGGAAAGAGAAAAAACCTCTTGTTTGAATGTGGCCCCACTAAATGCTGCTACATGACATAAGTTACTTTCCCTCTTTGATTTTTTGTTTACTCACCTACCTTGAACAGTGATCACCAGGATGAAGCAGCTAACACAGTGCATGAGTAGCAGAAAACTGACTGTGATATTATTACCATTTGTTGCTTCTTTTATGTGATGTGATGATAGAATCTATTATCTCTAAGCAAAGAATATCCAACGCAATAAAATAGGAATATTTTTAGATGTCTTACCTATATCTCCATATACTTGTGAAGACTGATACTGTGGCATATACTGTGTTGCCATATCTCCAGCTCCAGTTACTGGTGAGTACATATGACGTGGTGGAGGGGGCATCATGGTTGGGACAGGAATGAAACCAGGCAGGGGAGGGTGTGGAGAACGGTGGATGACCGTGTGACCGCCAGGGTGAAACTCTGGTGCCTGAGGAACCACAACTACTCTTCGAACACCATTGTCTTCAATAACCTATAAAATGAATGTTAGATTAAAGGTTTTTTCCATAGGATATAAGCAATCTTTTGAAATGTTAGAGGAAGAATTTTTATACCACTAGAAATTAATTAAAAAATTTTAGAGGTTAACATAAAAAAATTTATTAAATACATTAGGTACATATGAATTAGCATTAAATAACATGAAGTAGTTTTTTGCTACATAATTCATTATACATTTTAAAACACTAAGGAAACTAGCTAAATAATAATTCAAACACGCTATGATATTAGGTGTTTATCCTATGTGTTATATGCATTTAATGATGCAATAATTTTGGTTTAGACATAAGATCAGGAATTAATTTCCTTTTCTATATTATGACTGGGGTTAGGGGAAAACAAGTTGTGGAAAGACCAAATAGAAAAAAAAAAAACAACAAAAACCTGGATCCAGACTCCTAAAGATCAACCACTTGTTAGAATTTAGATACAAAATTCTTATGACCATGACCAGGACAATTTTAACAGCTGATCATTTCAAGGGAGAAAAATGCCAAATATATCAACTCCCAGTTAAGAAAAATATCTATGCCTTTGGGGCTTAGAAATTACACATTTTAAAAACAGGAATCACACTGTGGGACTAGATTTTTAAAAATGCTAAGATTTATTACCTTTGAACCTCACTAGAGCTGCAAAGACACACAAGAAACCCTGAAAAACTATAAGACTTTATCTCAAGATTAGGAATCCCTCCTAAAATAGGGCCCTACCCTTTTAGACTTAAATGATAATTATCAAGGTATAACAAATAAATGGCTTATAATACCTTTCCTTAGGAAACAGAAAATGATTACAACTTGAAGTGCTAAAGGACAGAAAATTTTGTATATAAACATATATATGCTTAATAAGTATATGTATACTAGAAAACACACTTACTCGGGTAAAGATAAGCCTACATTACAAATATTAAATAGACTGTTAAAATATCCTCACTACTGGAATATGATATGACTTGTCTAACACAGGACTAGAAGACCCAATGAATTCACTATTTTTTATGTGCTAGGTCTAGAACCACAATGCCTTCCTTCTAGCCAAATAGATGACTCAGTTCTGAATTTAAGTTTCAGGCAAGTGCATGAGAGTGATGGAAACTAAATCATATCTAGAACCCTAGTTGAAGGGAATCTGGGAACAGTTTGTAGCTTTTTAGTCTCTAATGTCCCTCTACAGGAAGGGACAGTAGAAGGAGTTTGGAATGGATTCTGAGTGAGCCAAACCACAGTATCTGTCACAATACCACTTCTACCTTTTTTATTTTCTGATTCACAAATCTTAAAAGATTCCCTGCTTCTGATAGGATTATACCTCATACTTATCCAACCTGGTTTCAAACTGCCTTTTTAGTTATATCGTTCTTGTGTACCAAATGCTGAACCCTTAACTGGTCTCACCCCGAACCCAGAACTACTCTGACTTTAAGCTCTTAAACAATCATATGGTTATTTCTAACCATTCATTCAACAAATATTTATCTCATGTACCTACAAACACATACACACGTCAGTAAGTGACCACAGTCTCCATTCTCTCCAGCTCTCACTGTACCTCTTCATCCTCATCTAAACCTCTAGATCCTCCTACTTTCCAGTCTCCCAAACTCCCTCACCCATGCCCTTTGGCTATTCTCCCTAGGAGAGACAGAAGAGAAGACAGATCAAACTGGTTTGCAGAATCTTTGTAAAACGTACTGACCTCACTGCTGCATGCTGACATACAGCCAAAGTAAAACAGCAAGCACAGATCAAAGGAGTAAACTGAAACTTTTCCTTAAGTTGATATAGGCCCTTTCCCCACATTATGAGATCTACGAACCCCTCCCCATTATGTACCCTCTCATCGCCATAACAACACACATTCCATAAAAAACAGTTAGGGGAGCCATGACAGAAAGCAGAAAAACTTTTGATGTTTTATTTTAGGATTCCCATTTAGGCACTTTATAAACTTTTCTTGGTAAGGCATTAACTTCATCACTGAACTATCAAGTGTTATTCCGTCCTGCAGTGCAATGCTCTTGGGGAGTATAAATTAGTACTATTTGCCAGTGAATTAAGTTCCTTCTACTCCTGTCATCATTTGCTTTGTGTTTAAATTTTACAGTTTGTTTTGTTTCCCCATTTGATACCTTAGTTCAGTTGGCATACATTTCTGCCTCTATACAGTATGTCAATCTCTCAAAACCTTCCCTTTCTAAAATAAGGACCAGGCCCCAGAAATGGCTACAAAGCTTATCTATGAGTAAAGTACGTAATTTTGGTGTATGGACTATGTATCATCTTTTCAAATAGTTCACCTTTTCTGAGGCTTTTTTTCTATTTTGAAGTACAAGCATACCCGGTATGTAACAACTGAGGTTGCTGGTTAAGTAAGAAAAAAGTGTTAAATATAGGTGAAATGATTTTTAGGAATGGGTCTAAAAATATTCCAGTAATTTAAAAATGTGTATGATTAAAAAAATTAGCAATCCCATGTCGATAATTGTTGAAGCCAGGTTATGAGTACAAGGGGGTTCAATTATACTACTTATTCTACTTTTGTATACATGTGAGAAACTCTACCATAAAGAAGAAAAGATGTATAAAAGAAAGTGATAAGTAATATGTATATCCTAATAATCAATGTTAGGGAAGGTGCAGCTAACTGTCACATATAGTTAGTCGGAATGTAATTGATGTGAACTTCATTGGGAAAAAACTTAAAATATGTATCTAGAACCTAATAAAAGTCCAGACCCTTTGAATTAATAATTCCATATCCAAAAATTTATCCTAATGAAATAAGAAACAAAACTATGATTTGTGAAGATATTCACTGTACCTTCATAATTGCAAAAGAAAAACTGGAAGGAGCCTAAATAATCACAAAATGGGAATAATTAAACAAATTGAGATATGTTGACATTATAGATTATACAGCCTCTAAAACTTTAAA